AAATATAACGATATCAGTTAAAATTTCCAACAATTTTAATTTAATATTACCTTCAATTTCGTATTATTATATTTATTATATTCTATGTGAAATGAAATTCTAGCAGATAATATTAAAATAATTCGATAGGAGGAAGGGTACGTTATTAAAAAAAAAAAATATGTTTTAAAATATTATTCATTATTTTGTTATTTAAATACGTTTTAAATTTATTAAAATATAGGTACTAATAAATGCGTACAGAATTGAATGAAATGTAATCATGATTAAAAATAATGATCTCAATACATTTTCCCATTGTTTCATCTTAAAATTTTATCTCATTAACTATAGAAATTATAAAATTTCAGCATCGTACGAGATACATTTTCAAAACCCCCTTTTTTATTGGATTTCGATATACAGGAATTTAAACATTTTTTTTCCCTTATAAAGCGGGAATAACCTGCTCGAATTGATTAATCAGATATATCACAAATGAATTCAATGGTTAGCATTGAAAGGTAGTATTCAAAAAAGTGCAAGAATTTTTTACCGATTATTTTATCGATCCAGATTACGTGCATTACATTTTTCTAATATATTTCAAAAAGTTCTTTTATATCTAAAAAAAAAAAAAAACTTTTCTTACATCCACTAGCGAATAAATAAAAGGATATATATTTTTCCTTACAAAATGTTCAATCAACGTTACGGCGATACGTATTATCTTTGGTAATTGCGTGCCCTTTCAACGTTGACGTTTCAATCGAGGTATCAGCTATGCTAAACTTGAGCCAATGTCACGCCTAAATCATCATGACATAAGTGATCAACAATATACCCGCTTCTATATATACCCTCATCATCCCCACGATTCCCTTTACGAAACTTATCGCCTTGTAATGGATTATAGAGCTGCTAAACGCAAAGATTATCAAGAAAAATCGGTGAGAAAAATCCCTCTAACTGGCTCTTATAATATTTAAAACAAGTTTAGATTTTATCATCGAGATTAGATCGAGGAATCAACTGTATTATACTATAATATAAAAGGATATAATATAAAAAAAAAAGTGAAAATGAACCGAAATGTGGATTCTCGATCATTTTCATTTAACTGTAGATCAACCTGGGAATGGATTAATATCCCGAAATGTGCCGGTATTTATCCGGCAGTTGGCATTTCGCGCGACATCGTGTAAACGGTTGGAATGTTTCATTCGGTCGGATCCCTCCTGGTAACGCGCGCGCGATCGAATAAAACAACGATCATTAAAGCCGTTTAATTACATGCCGTTTACAAAACACCTGTCGACACCCCCCTCCCCCGGCCGAAAAATTTCCCGATAACTGCAATCACACGGAATAATTGAAAGTCCGTTCCGTCTCGTGGAAATGGAACTTTCAGTCGTCGATGAAATCGCGTGAAAAAAAAAAAAAAAAGGAAAATCGGCGTCAACGTTTCGTCCAATTCGAGATAATATTTTTCCATAGCCAACAACCTCCACGAATTTCCCATTTTTTTGTTCTTTGAGGATAAACACGAAGTGGATCGAACGATGCGTACTAGAAAAGAAAGGGAAATTCCTTCTCGTAAAAATGACGAAAGAAAGAAGCAGACAGAGAAAGAATAAGAATTATGTATCTCGACGAATCGGAGGCCGACGATGTTACGAAAACTTTGCTCCCTTCGTTGCGAAGTTCCGCGATCATCCGACTTTTCACTCCGCGCGCTCCTATATTTGTCGGCGAGGGGAAGCTTAATGAGCCCGTCTCGTTGTAAAATGTTTGTGCAACTTCTCGTAACGTTCGTCCATCGGAGGGATAGAACGATAGGAACGTCCCTTTCTTCTCTCCCCTCGCGATACTCTTTCGACAAAGAGTTACGGGCGAGAATCATTGATAGGGCGGTGGCGGACATCCCAGCCTTTGTACGACAATTTTTCCGGACAAAGAGGTCTCGAATCGAGATGTTTGACCACTAGTCTATCGATTTGGGGGGGAGTTTGTTGAAGAGGAAATGGTCGAACAAAACTTGAATATGGTCCCGGATCAAAGATACGTTTCAGAGATTATTCTTCACTCGCGTTAGTTTTATATATATATATAACGTGCATTACATTTTTCTAATATATTTCAAAAGGTTCTTTTATATCTAAAAAAGAAAAACTTTTCTTACATCCACTAGCGAATAAATAAAAGGATATATATTTTTCCTTACAAAATGTATATATATATATATAGAGGACGGGACAAATTGTCGATCGATAAGTTTTTGAATATAAAATAAGCGAGGAGAGGAGAGGAGTTCGTAAGGAATTAAGAAGTACAAACGGAATTCATTTAAACACGTGGTTTTCGTTAATGGAAAGAAATAGTTATTCGAGGATCGTCAGAGATGCAAATTTTATTCGAAATTCGTGTATTTTGATAGGAGGAAAAATCGAGGGAGCGGATACTTTTTACACGCGAAGTACATGTAAATTGGAATGTAAGGGAAGGCTTTACGAGTGGAAAGCGACGCGAAAGTCTCGTGTAAACAGACTGTTTCACCATTCTCTTTGCGCGCGGCACGAATTTTATTTGAAATCTGCGTCGTAAGGGAGACGTAAAAATTCGGGTATTTCTTTTTTTTTGCTAAAGATCCAAGCAGGGAAACTGATTTTATACCCTTAACGGCCCGCGTTTTCCCACTCTCTTTTCCATTCATTCGTATTATTTTATTTACGATAGCGTGTCCGAGTACTTTTTAATTTTTTCAATACAAATCGATTCGAACGCGACAACAAGTTTAACGGTGTCAAAACATCACTCGATCAAATATCAATATTATCCGGCAAACGCGATTGTATTACTGATAACAATTTCTATCGATAATTTCAATATTGCCGGACGATATATTATTCGCGAGTACGTCGCGAAAAATCGAATTTAATTCATTTCGTTATCTATCCGTTATTAACAGTATTGCTTCCCTATTATCATTTAAACGATGCTCCCTCTTTCCATTGACTTTGCACAAAGAGTCGCAAAAAAGAGATTACGAATGCAATGCAATTATCGTTTCAGAAAATACGATTTTCGAAAAGTTTTATTTTCACAAGTACCCGCGGACATTTTTGCGACCATAATAAACTTAATTCCATTTTTCAACTGCATTTTCGATAATAAATATTCCAACAAATGTCCGGGAATATCGAGAATAACGAGAATCGATACGAATGCTTGATTTAAAGAGGGTGTTTGGGGTAAAAATTTATGCCCAATTGCGTGTTAATCACTGATCGTGTATCAAATCCAACTATAAAAATTTATTCGTATTATATTTTTCAACTCTCGACTCCAAATTTCACTTCGTATTCCAATAACGCCAAGAAATTGAATCTTCCTTCATAGATTGCCAAACTTCTTTCCAACATCTTTGTTATCCGAAATTAATGAGAGCATCTCTCTTTGAACTTTTTCCTATCTCTTCCTTCTTTCTTTCATCATAAACCGCTCATCGTCGTTGTTCGACGAGCGCAATTTAAGACTCTTTTCCAAAAGCATTATGTCGATACGTTCCCTTTATGATTAATTAACAATTATATTAATTCGGGAAGCTATCGCTCGCCGACTGTTTCCCTCGATTCACGTTACACGGTAGAGAAACCTGGATTCATTGAAATTCACCACTCTCGGCGATAATAATCTGGAAAGGTGTTCATAAACGAAAAAGGTGTCGAGAAACGGTTGTCGCGGATGATTCGGAAGAAGGCGGACGATTTACGGAGCTTCACGCTTGCCCGACGATGCAAGAACATCTTTGTTCGAGGTCGACAAAAGTTTTTGATAAATGCACGTCGAACGCGACGGTGACGGCTATTGTGTCAATATTTGAATGGATCAACGATAAATAGAGGAAAGAATGGATCGAAATCGAGGGAATATGGTTCTCGCGACGATGGTGACTTTTCATGGACAGCCACGGCATTCCTCCCTTCCATCCTACTTTTCGCCCATCGACGGTTTACCGACCATTTGTTGGCCAAAGCGTTTCCAAAAACGTTTGCCAAAACCCCACTCTGCCCCGGGAATTTTACGCGCGTGTTGCAATTCTCGCGACGAGGGCGGGAATTTAAGGATATCCGGCGACGAGTTTCGAATTTTCAGGCCTCGTCCCTGAATCTGTCGAGGTTCGATTTATATAATCGGATCGAATCGCTCTCTGTTCGGGGGTCTTTTCTTGTTTAAAATAATTGCCGTGTTCGAAACAAAATTATTCTCAAACGGAACGAGAGATTAAAGGTGATCGAATTATCTTGCGATAAAATGATTCGATCGTTAGGGGTTGCAAATTTAGAATGGAATCGAAGTGAAATCACTTTTTCTCGATATACTCAAATAATAGATTTGTTAACGAGTCACGCTCGAAATAAATTATTTCGCGTATTATCCGTCTTTGGCTGCTATCTGTGGACCGGTCGCTGTTTAACGAGCGGAAAAATGATTAAAATCCGTCCCCCGCGTTGTGTATATAACGCAGTTTGTAGCCAAAATCGCGTTATTTCGTTCAGTGTTGTATTCCGCTGTGCGTTACTTCAAATTAAAAAAAAAAAAAAAAAAAATTGGAAGCGGAAACAATCGGTCGGAATTTATCGTAATTTTGCGAATGATTTTCACGCAATTTCACCGGGCCACGATGCGCGGCCAATTGCTAATTGCCCGTCCAATTTTTCGTTTTCATTTTTAAAACCTGTCACACGTTTGTTACCCCCCTGGGATGAGGGAGCAGGGAAAAACCGAATGCTTCTTGTTTGAGAAAAATATTATTTTTTTCTTTGCGATAAACGAGCGACTCGTATTTTACACTTGTGATACTTCCGCTTATCGTATCGCAGATATTATACAGAAACCGAAATTTGGAAAACGATGTAATTCGGGTTAAGAACGTACATAATATTATGTTTGTTCATTTTTCATCTTATGCGATATCGAGAAAAGAAATTTGATCGATTTATTAATTTTAGAATACTTACCATCCTTCAATTTTTCTATTAACACTTGTAACGTTACGTTGACGATGAGTTGTACGTCAAAGCCCATCATTTGTAACGTTTGCGACAGATTCCTCGAACATTCCTCCGCATTATTTCTTGCTGGATATATCTTTACGTTATTGAAAATTAACGCTATACCTCTTCGTTTGTGATTCATCTTATACACTTCTATATTTGGATCCACGTATTTTGTCTTTTTATGTCTATATCAAAACATCGAGTTAAATTAATCAATTGGCCGATGAAAGCTATTAAATAATAATAATAACAACAACAACAATAACAACAACATGATTATAACCGGCATGATAAAATTTTGAAATTAAAAGTTTCTATCTAAAAAAGGCATTACGTTACTTCAACTAATCCCTTTTCAACCCGTCCTCCTCCGGTATATCGAATTCGCATCGCGTTTTCCAATCATCGTGTATAATTCACTTTTTCAAATTTCCCTCCGGCGCGGTTGCGCGATATTTCAACGTGGAGAATTCTCGTTCGTATTTCGCGCGAAAACAATTTATCCACTCGATTATAGCTTCGACACAATTTCTCGTTTCGTTCTCGAACCGGCGATATTTATAATCGGGAGGAGGGGAGAGAGGAGGAGGAGGATTCATATCTCCAATGTAAACTCGATATTCGTTCTTTTTTGTACTCGCGCTTCCAATCTATCTAATGCAGGATCAATTACACGCCGAATTACGCGCCACTCTCGAAAACCCTTTCTTTCCCACTCACTGTTTTATTCCATTGTATACTCGTGAATTCGCAGCAACCTTTCGCAATATAACTCGAACGATATATTTTTCGACCCGCCGCCGAAATTTCCCTGTTTCCGGACACGGCCGATCGATACGCGCGGTAAAAATGGGAGAGGGCGAAAAAAAGGAGGAGGGAAGGGGAGAAAACAGGGGAAAATAAACAACGAAGACGAAACCGTAACGAAAACTGTGTATCCGCAGTTTCGGTGTCGACGACGGTGTTCACCGCTTTTTATGTCCCCTCGTAAAATTTTGAATCCTGGGAAGAGGGAAGAGGGGCCGAGAGAAGGAGCTCCTCGTTTGCCACGAGGCAACGCCGTGCGGACAAATTTAACGATTAAAATATCGTGGCTCGCTATTGTTTTTTCTCCACTTGTCGTTCCCTTATTCAAACGTTCCTTGTTCGACGTCTTTATTACCAGTGATGGGCAAAAAATTTAATAGCTCAAGGAATAAATTTACCTCCATAATTTATTGTAGAACCAACTGTAACAGCTACGAGAATAAATGTTATTTCTTATATCAATAGATTACTCGAAGTAACTTTTTCTCTAATTTTTAAATCTGTGATTCTCCAAGAAACGTTTGAGGGAACAAAGTTTTAGAACGCGCACTCGTAGAGCGAAAGCGTTCGAGCTTCTAATTCTTGGTCTCGAATGGCAAGTTTTGCGCTTCTCTCCGAAACGAAAAGGCACGATCGCGTATAATCCGTCGCGAGAGTCTCGCCCTCCTTCTCTCCCCTTTTCCCAACTGCATTACACTGTTTCGCAGTTTCCGCTCACGTACGTGGTGAGTGCACGCCGCGAACGGAAAATCTTGGGAACGGCGTCTTGGGAATCGAAGAGTCGCGGTGGGGAGCGAGAGGGATCCATCCGACGCTCGATTTAATTTCAACTTGGATCGCGATCCCAGGTTAAAGAACTCGCAGTAACGGCCTCCCCTCCTTTCGTTTTATCGCGGAACCACGTCGTCCTTCGTACCTCCTCCCCTCGTGAACGCGTGCACGTGAGAAGAGCCAATCAAACGAGGCCGGCTGCTTTCGGGGAAGGGGGCATTTTCGCGCCTATACACCGAATAACACACCATAATAGGAGACACGGATCCAGTGTACGAGAAATCGTTGTTGGAACGAAACTTTTGATCAGTTCAAAGGATGGAGTTTTTTTCTTTGCGCGAGATACAAGTTTTTCGATATATAATTCGGGCAGAAGAAATTTTTCATGAGAATTCTTGTCTGAATTGTTGTTGTTGCTTTTATCATTTTATATATGGTATCAATTTTTAAATCGATAATTATGATCGTGACTCGCAACGTGAGTTTATAATTTAGACGAGCAATAGCGTAGCTTAAGAGAGGAGCGCGGTTGTGATATTTGGAACTTAGAACTCTGAATGTGTGCGTGCGTGCGTGCGTGGGTGCATGCGTGCGTCAAAAGCTTTGTTTGAATTGAGTGCGTATACGTGTGTATGCGTCAGTGTGGCTGATCGTCTATGTCTACGGCTGAATCCTCTTAAGGGAGTGCAACGTGTACTTGAGATAAAGTTCTGGCAAGCGTAACTAGCAATTCGAACGTGCATGCAGAATTTGGAGAATGGTTTTAAAAAAGAAATGGATATTATTGTAGTTTGTATATATAGATCTTATTAGTTTTTTCCATTTAATTATGCTGTCAATCTTTTAAAAATAATATTATCTTATGAATTTGCACATATTCATGCTAGCTTTATATTTGGCTGTTTTATTAATAATTTCTGACTTATCTTCTATTCGTATTTTTTTTTTTTTATAATTTTAGAATGTATAGATATTTTTTGAAAATTATTTGCTCCATCATGTACAAATTCAATTATACGAGGAAAAAAAGAATGATGTGAGAATTTCCTCGATAATTTACTTAATTCTTGGTATGTTGAATATTCTATCGTATCATAAACTACTTACGTATAATATATCAAACTTTACAAGTATAAAGTACTTGTCACAACAATTAAGGAGCTCTTATAACGTACACGTATTGGGATCAAAAAGTTATCGTAAATTCATTATAAATTATGTTATTATGTATTACGATGTAACTAACTCGAACCTAACAACCCTCTTAATTTACAATGATGAATTGAAAAGGAAACGTTATCGAATTAACATTACAACACTTTCCCCAAATTTTCCGTTAAATGTCATTGTTAAAATTAGAAAAATTAATTTGTTCGAGTTAAAACGATTACAATTACGATAATTATCTAGTGACAAACATTCCACGGAATTGTAAGTTATCTTCCAAATATCAAACCCGATTTCCAATAGGAGATAGCAACAAATAAATCCACTACATCTCCTTGTAATTCAATCGCGATTCACGATGACATATGCACATATTAGCAGGAAAAACATTATCGTCGGATAAAATCTTAATTATTCCTCAAATATCAGTATTACGATGAAAAGAATCCATTTCCAAGATTGGAAGATGTACAACTTATATCTTACTTACCTCGAATATGAATCATTCGTTTTTCCTTGATCTCTTGTATCATGTTTGTTTTGCTTTCGTAATACTATTATTCACATTTAGAGGAATAGAATCTATAAACTATAAATTGTTAGACATTTACAACATCTTATAAATAATCCTCAGGATTTTTATCAACGATTAAACACTCGTCAATTTCCGGGTGTAAAAGGTGTAAAAGCGCATCGTTCGGCGAAACAGCGAGCAAAGCGGACGTAAAAAGCGGCGCGGCGAAACGACAAAAGAACGGACGATGAAGAGGAAAGCGGAAAACACGACGCGACGCGACGACGTTGCCGGATCGTGCTTTTTAAACAGTTCGAGATTTCTCTTTCTGTTTCGAAAGAAACTCCTTTTTTCCGAACGGTGAATGTAGACGCGCTTTTACGACGGGCACACGCACAAAGCTTGGCGCTTACAAACTAGTCATAAATGCGGCCATGGATCTGCCGCTCATTACCAAACAAATGTTCATCGGGAACAGAGAGACGAGTTACCGGCCATTATAGCGGTTCGTCGCGTTTCCTTTGAATTTGAAAACAATTTGCACCGAATACTAATCCTCCCCCCTCCACCCTCCACTTCATCCTCTCTTATTTCTCTCCGCTGACACGCCGGATATAAATCCCCCCCCCCCCGAACAACGATTATAACGATCCTCTGACCAATTGGGATGTAAGAGGAGCAAGAGTGCAAATTGCGGCTGGGAACGAGGGACGATGTCGATTTCGTTTTAATCGGGCCGAAACTTTTTTTCTTCACCATCGCGATTCGGGTTTTGAAGGGGTACGTTGGTTAATTTAACGAGAGGCTCATCCGATTTAAAGAGCTTTACCGCCTCTTTGCGAATTTTAAACGCGGTTCCCGTCCGTTCGAGCGAACGAAATTTTAGAATCCCAATCTCTGTTTATACCGAGATTTTTTTCTATGATAAATGAATATCGAAGAAAGAAGGAAGAGAGAGAAATTTCTAATTGCGTTCCCTATTGCTCGCCTGGCGATCGATAAAATACATATTTAGAAACGAAAATCGATACGCTTTAAGTGTTTTCGTAGTCTTTTTTTTTTTTTTTCTTTAAGTCTCCTGATAAACCGTTATCTTCAATATTTGCAAAAATTATCACGATATATTTATATATATATATACACTCGCGTAAACCCATTCTCTGATATTTTCTCTCGAACGTGTGCCGATCAAAATTGTAAAAATTAAATTCAAGAGGCAAATTATAGGGCTTCAATAGGGAAATCTTCAATAGGCGATCTTCAACATTTCGGAGCGCTACAAGCAGACAGCAGCGCTCGTAAAATTTAATTTCACCATAGAAATGTTAATTCTCGTAAATATGCATATTTCGTGTTCGCGTATTTCACTTTCATACGCGAGAGTTATAACGTAAGAGAGTTAGGTCATCACGAGATATTACGTCCCTTCGTTTATCGCGCCATTGACGGCTGGCTCGCTCGCTCCTCCCTCGAGTTCGAGTCACTTTTCATCAAAGGTTATCGATATCTCAACTCCTCGTAAGTGTAGATATATATATACGTTCCCGCTCGTGCGTGTCCACTGGAAGAGAGCTTTCTCTTTACTTTTCAACCGTTTCACCGTTATACCCAGAGTTTCCCTCGCGCAAATAGAAAATGGAACGAAATTGAAAATTGACCTCCCTCCCTCCCCCTCCCCCCCCGCGACTATTTCAACGTTGATCGCGATGAAAATCGAAGGGAGAGGCCGAACGATCACGATATCATTCACCAACGAAACGATTATAATCAATATCGAAAATATTTACTCACTTCAATTTATTACCGATTATCACACTGTCTACTTCGTCGTATTCTTCCGTGTTAAACGATTTCACACCGTTAAGAGAGGAAAATATTTCTTCAACATTTACATTCGATCTTCCTAAAAGTATATTGTGCGTAATTTGAGTTATTTTGTTCATTTTTTCAAATCGTTTTTCACACTTTCGTTTTTCACAATATCGAATGTAAATCACTGTGTGAAACTCACAGTGAAACTCATATTCGAGTGTGCACGGTTATATATATCAGCTTTAAAAGATAAGAGATAAGATACCGCGAATTTTAACGAAATAGATAGATAAATTTAATTTTAAATAAGAAAGATATTTACAATTTAAAAGGAAATAACCAACTTTTATTTTATTTAAATTCGCGCTTTCTACAGTTTGTCGACAAACGATGATCAGATTTTCATCAAGGAATGCAAAATATATACGTAAGATAAAAAAAAAATATATATCGTAATATTTGAAATGGAAATTGAAACGCGAAGATATTTTCCGAACTGATAATCTCGTTGATCCAACTATTGTGTCACGTAATCGTATTGTAATCGTAATCGTTCAGTTCAAACGGGATTGTATTCTATCGAAAGAATAGAGCTCCTCCTTGGCCATTTTACGAAAGCAATAATCCTTTCGTTCGTAGCGAATGTCTGGAACTGTGATTAAACTACATCTTCCATTTTCGTTCGTTTCCAGACTTACAACATGGATGCCCAAGTCGGGGAGTCGTCAGCATGCGCGACGGCATTACTCTGCGGGGTTAAAGCCAATTACGAGACTGTTGGCCTGGACTCCTCTGCACGCTTCGAGAACTGCTATTCCAGTTTTGATGCCCGTGTACCGTCCCTTATCAATTGGGCGCAGGAGCAGGGTAAATATTCGAACGTCAACAACTAATGCAAAGGATTACATAATCGATTCCTATCTCCCGATCAATCCGAACTTAATTGCTCGCGTCGATTCGTTGCCAATTCATCCTTTTTGCCTCCTCTTTTTTTCTTTTTTTACTTTGTTTTTTCCTTCTTTTTCGTTTACATTCTTCCGCCGCGTTTTTTCGACCTCTCGTTTTTATTTTATTTTACCATTTCGCTTCGTCGTTAATTTATCGTGAAATGGTTATTGTTGGAAATATTAATTTTTGTTTTTTTTTTCTTCATTTTCCATTCGTGTATAATCCTTGAGATATGTGTATCTTGAGAATGAATATTTATCAAGAAGTAATTATTACCGATAAACAATAGATTTTATCATCGATTTTGTTTCGATATAAAATTTGCTTTATCCGTTATATATATAATTCTTTTTTTTTTTTAATATTAAACAGATAAATAAATACGAAAAAATTATATCCTTTGTTTTATTACAATTTGTATTCTATCGATAACAAATTACTTGGAGAAAATTACTTAGAGAGATCTAGAAATCTCGAAGAAAAATTTTTCTTCTCCATCTACAAAAACGTATAAATATTTTTTTCTAAATTAAAGAATATATTCTCTATCTATACTCTTGAAATAAATAATTGAATGTTATTCACGAAACGAGCACGATGCTCTAATTATTGTTTACGTTTGCAAAATTTCCACGCTGAAACTGCTCCATTTTCCAACCATTCCCCGCTTCACATTTCCCGTGCAAAATATATAAAAATTACGCGCGAAATTATATCGTTAATGCGATATACCGAGCCGCGACAATGTAATCGCGGCAGCGGCACGATCATAAGATCCGTACGTTATTTTTCCACGTGCCATTCCGTGTCGAATATCCCGGGACGAAAAGCGAATTTTCGAGCATAAATTCTAACCGCTGTGCAATTCGGACCGCTCGTAGAACAGACTTCAGGTAACAATGAAACGAGCTCGAATTTGAACGTTACAAGCACCGGCTGTTTCGAATTAAAAAAAAAAAAAAAAAAAAAAAAAANAAAAAAAAAAAAACAAACAAAAAAAAAAGTTGAACCGCTTTCGCAATTCGTTACGATATATATGTTTGAAATCGCAAATAAAATAAAATACCGACCGCGTTCATTAATGAAATAACAAAAATTTGATCGAGAGCGAAATTTGATAGGGAGATGGCCTAAAATAAAAATTCAGGAATCGCGCGTTTCATCGAGTTTCGCGTTTTGATAATTCCCGTCTCTTGATTTCACTTTGGAAAAAAAAAACTTGGCAAAAAATTGTTATTGTAATTTCCAAAGAATCGAGAAAGTTTCGAGTCGAATTTTTCATAGTGATTTTTTCGATCGGATTCAAGGGTGGAAGGTGGAAAGGGTAAGAGGATCGCGATATCCGTTGAAAATCATAAGGCATCGAGCTACGATGGTTCCCGATGGACCATCCGGTATATAATCTGGTCTCATTAGAATGGTATCGAGCAATTAACAGAATTTCTCTGGCGCCCATGCACGAATATCAAGGGATATACTAGGGGGAGATGCTGCAATCGGGAGATCGTCATATTGCGCTACGATCAAGTTTCGGTGTCAACCATACAGAATAGTGCTTTTAGCCGATCTCGATTTTCCATTTTCCCCGGGTTAGACATTACGGCGGCTCGAAAATCCAGTTTTATCGCTGGGATTGGGAGGAGGAGGAGGAGAGGAACGGCATTTTTGGTAAATGCCTTCAAAAACGAACGACGAGGATCCACGCTAGTGGATTAGAATTGAAAGATAGCGACTTTCGAAAAGATTCTAATTTCTAATTTAAGAGCTGAAGAGCTATAATAATTCCAATATTCAAGATCGTAAAAATTATTTTGATTAAAATTAAGATTGAAATATCTTCGAAACTATTAAATATTTTGATATAATATTAAAATATATATATATATATAATACGTTTAGCTTATTCGTATACAAAATTACATTTATAAATTAAACTATCGTTACGAATCGTAATTAACTTGAGCATATTACAAATAAACAAATTTTTATATTATATCGATCACGTTAGAATTCTATGCCTACGCTGATGCATCGAGGTTTGTAGATTACAGATCGTTGATTGACTAGGCGCGTGAAAATTTTCTTCCGAATTAACCAATCAGAGATCCGCATTCTTTTCCGCGAGACTTGTTTCCACCACAGTGAACGACAGTGTTTTCCACTAGATTCTCCATGTCCGTGTCATCGAATCATTTTCGAAAATGAATGAATTAATTTGGACAACAAGCACCGTGTTCGTTTATTCGAATCGTAATGTGGCTCGTAAATAAGGATCTTTCATCGGTTGGTTTATTACTCTCGTATCGATGCACGCTAAGAATTCGCTCGGAGCTCCGTTCGATAATTTCAATTTCCTATAGAGACACGTTCGGTTTCATCACGGTTCTTTGACTAGTCTCGCGATGAATACTAATGGTATCGATGTCGTGTTTTTAACGATGATAATGAAACATGCCGATCGATCTCATCGTTTAAACATGCCAGCTATTTTCTGAATTTCTGAATTTAGAATTTCCGATGTATAACGGGGGAAAAAAATATTATAACAATGGTTTTACAATGGCTACGTATGTATGATTATGGTCATCGTGCAGCTTTTGTATTTTATTTTTATAATATTTGATTATAATTTTCTGTAGTTTTAATTTAGATTTGTATCGATACGTATAATAGAAATTAATTAAAATCTGAACATTGAGAAAATTTTTATGAACGAGTAATTATAATGCATATTAGAGAAAATAAAAATAAAGGAAGCTTAATTTAATAATATGCAGAATTTTTTTATACGTTCTTTTATATGATATAAGTTTATTCGAGTTGTATAAGTTATTCACCATCGAACAGTTTGAAATATTCAAAAATATGCAATCTATTTTCTCTGTTCCACGATATTGCACACACTGAAATTTTTCATCTCTATAATCCATATAAAATTCCAAACAATAACATTACAATATTTCTATAATTTTTACGTTGCGCGAACAAATCTTCTCTATGTACATTTCACAATTCGGAAGATACTTCTTCTAATCTTTTCACAAAATATACAAATTGAAATTCTTTGACGAAAAGCTATTTATAAAAATACACGATTCGATATTAATTAATATTTTAACCTGGATTTTTCCATTTTTACCTGGATATCATTTACGATCGTTATCCGTTTTATCATCTTAATATAATACAATTTAATACGATTCGTTCGATAAGATAAGTTTTACAATATAATAGCACAAAAAATTCGAATGTAAGTACCAATAAATTTGGAAATATAGAGTCTAGAGAGATGACGTTCCATATATGAAACGTTTGCTGAAATTATTTAACAACTCAAATTCTTTAAATATCAACTTATCAAGAATTATTTCAATGATAAACGTTTACCGAATATCTACATAAACAAGATGTCAACAAGATCGTTAGTTACATTAACCGCCGTTCGCAATACTCTTTGTGCGATGTTACGTACGAAATATAACGCTATAAATGTTTACTTTCCACTTGGAACGCGAAAGTAAAATGTATCTTCGTTAATGCGATTTTTATTAAATCGTCGGAATGACAAGACTCGTGAAATGTTCAAACTAATAAATAATCGAAGAACCGAGAGATATCCAAGCCCAAAATATATATATATATATCACGATATATATTTCGCGTGACGATGAGATATTAAGATAGCGCGAGTCGACTGAAAACGAGTCGGCCGGTTAAATCAGTCACCGCGAAAGCAATGGGCTTATATATACTATGTAACAACATGGGTGCACACGGGTCATGTACATCGAGATCAGTAATAAACACGTCGCGCGTATAGCCAAAACCTCGTACGTCTGACTGCGCCTACGTTGCGAGTATGAAAGCTGCAGGCTGCCTTAGCTCGATTATTAAGATGAATTGCCTCGTTGATTAATCGCGCGCCGTTTGCCGTTGACACGCCTCTCCCCCCTCCCCGTAACCAACACGATCCCGCTTTCTGCCCTCTTTACCGCCGCAATTTGTCAATTTACAATTATTGTCTGCGCATTCGACCGTGCCTTCACGCGGCTGCGCAACAACACCGGCCACCGATATATATATATGCGCGTTGTTCGAGAGATAAAAAAGAGCTTGGGTTTTTTAATTCACAAGAAACACGTGGGAAGATAACGGAGAAGGACACAGGTTGAATTATCTTTCACGTTTTCGTCGAAGAGAAGATACCTCGATAAATAAATACTTGAACGATTATCGTGTTTGTACAAATTGTAAATAATTGCGAACAATCATGTTGGAAGAATTAAATTGAAGCGCACCTATTTCGAGCGAAATCTTCCGACGATTGTTTCATCATAATTAGGATACGACAGATAATTATATTACGCTCTATAAATTATAGAAAATTAACACGCGATGGTGTTAAAGTTATTAAAGTTATTAACGCTGTATTCATCTCCGATATTACGGCGGTAAGTTTTCCAGATAAACGATAATTTGATGTATAATGTAATCACGAAAATAAATAGTAGTAATAATCGAAACGCTGACGAGGATATTTCGTTCGCTGTATTTATACATTTTACATTTGAATTCCCGATCGTATTTATTCTAATTACAAACCCGATTCAGCAAATGTAATAATCGTAATATAATTGCAAACTTGCAAATATTTATTTTCCCCTTGATTACAAAATATTCACCATCGACCAATAAAAAAATAGAAGATTTTATTGAAATTAATTTCCAATAATACTTATATAATATAATTCAAATATCCGCGATAATATTTTTCTTTCTTTCTTCTAATCTTCTGTTTTAAAAATCACTCTCACTTTTCGATCATTTATCATATTTTGCAAATAGCATCGAATCGATAAACGGGATAATCAAACGAAACGATAATTTTTTTTTCGCGATGCATAAACGTCACGAATACCGCGAATATCGCGAATACAAATTCCTCTTCCTCCTCTTCCTAAAAAAAAAAAAAAAAAAAAAAAAAAAAAAAAAAAAAAAAAAAAAAAAAAAAAAATAGAACAAAAAAAATGGATTCCCGATGATATCGATATGTCGTTAATTAACGCGTATTCGGCCACTATCCGCGACACGGGAGAATAACAAGGGTGGAATAGCTTTATCGGATCGAAGTCTCGACAAATAATTAGCGCGAGACTAATTGAATCGATTATGCATTCCGTTAAACGGAATATCGATTTTGGTGCTGGGCCACTTTTGTTCGTAACGGGACGAATTTTCCAGCAGAAGTTGTGCGCTGTTCAAACGAGGGATTTACCGTGTTTCCTAACACGATCTAAAATTTGCAAATTCATCCGAGTCGAGTTTCCGGTTACGAGGGAGAGTCGACAAATGAACTTTATCCGATGACGGCTGACTAATTTCTCTACCATTCTCTGATAATTCACTCGCCAAGGCGACGAGTGTCGATCAATTGTCATTTAGGATTTACGGCGCGAACAATGAAAAGGACAACGATATAATCATTGATTATCTCGAGAAGCGGAAAATTTATTCGAGATTTTATTTTTTCCTTTATCTTCGTTTATCGATTTTATTTTATCTTCCTCGACGCGACTATGTTTTGACTATGTTAAATATTACGCGAAGATTCCAGCACTAATCTCGTTTAGAATCACGTGACGTATCTTTCCGCTCCATGTTTTTCCCGTCCCTTTCTTCGACCATGTCTCTTTTTTTTCGGCACCCATAAAGAACAATTTCGCAGATGGAACGGCACACTTTCGCCGCGAAACATAATGTCGCTAGAAAACCCGTTTGATAAGATGAAAAGTCGCGGAGAGAGAGAGAGAGAGAGAGAGAAAAGAAGTCTTTTCTTGAGGAAGTCGAATACGCTTTGAACGATCTTCAGAAGAGATCTTCGCTAGATTTAGACTAAAATTTCTAGATACGCGAATATTAAATTCACCGAAACTTTGAAAATTAATATCTTTCCAAAAATGATTATGATCGAGTTAAATTTCGAATCTTTCTCTTGACAAGAGGTTTTTTTTTTTTATTTTCGTACGATCATTCCCTCCATTCTCGAGATATTTGTCGTTTAAAGAGAAGCGTACTTTCCGTCATCTTCATCCTTGTCACGTCAATAATTTTTCTTATTGCAGCGCTTGCAGCCATTTTGCGAATCAGCGGATGCTGCATTTGCTTTTTTTTTTTTCTTCCTTTTTCTTTTTTCTTCTATTATTACGCGTTTTCGCGTAAAAATTATAGAGAATAATTATTAGAGAATAATCACGAGAATCTTCAATTTTCTCTCCCTAATTAACGTAGTTAGCATATTATTTCTAGAAGAGCAGATTTACTTATCGAACAAAGTGAATATAAAACAAAGTGCGTTTTCAAAAAAAGTTTCCTCTTTAAGTATTATCATTCTTATTATTATTATTATCATTGAATTGCCATTATTATTGCTTTCTTTATCATATAATAATTCTTTATCACATAAAGAATGGATATATGATAAAGATATAATATGGATAAGATTGATAATTGATGTTTCTTGTTTTAATAAATTTTTTTCATAAATTTATATTATAAAAATATTAGATTCTAACAAAAGATAAATGTCACTTACTACCTTTCTACACTTTGGTCGATTAATTTTGTTTCGGCATTTAAAATTATAATAATACAATCGCGTTGAAAATTCGAGATACGTTTCCAGATCGAGATAGCTCAAAGAAGAGCAGCTCATTTCCGGAAGTCGAAGTATGCCCGAGAAAAGCCTTTTCACCTTTCCCGCGGTACACCAGCTTCCGTTTTCCGTTAACCATTTTGCAAATCTCTGAAATGTCTCTCGTTTCAAGTATTCGAGACACGCGTCTCGTGTCGCGAAATTGTTTCTTACCCGACCGGTTCAAACGGTGAATTGACAATTGTTTTCGCTTAAAAGAGGAAAAGTGAAATCCGCTCCGCTCTACACCGTGCGTCGTCGTTGCTCCGCGACAATTTCCACCTCGAGGGATTCAATCGTAGCTTTATTTTAATTTGCATGCGAACGTCTCGCTGCCAGTGTTTATATGTAAATCGTGCCTCATCTTATCGCCATCGAGGCGCGGATCCCACGCTTTAAACCACGCTTGATGCCTCCTTTTACGGGGGTAAACGACGCATGCGGAAAAACGACGCCTGTTTACGCTGTTCAATGGCCTTCTTCTTCTTCTTCTTCTTCTTTTTTTCTTTTTTCTTTTTTGTTCCTTTATCGAGAATCTCGAGATCTACATCTACGTCGAGAATTTAAAACATGGAATTTCTTCATTCTCAAGTAATTTAACGGAGGATATATTTTGTCTCGAGATGAAAAAAAAAAAAAAAAACGAAATATCTTTTTGATAGAAACAAGAGGAAAGAACGATTCTCTTAAACGATCCGTTTTTCTATCCGTTTTGTCGACCGATAATTGTCGACATGATCAAGAATGAGAGTCGAGAGCTCCGAGGCGCAAAGGCGTTTGCAATTTTCGCCCAAGTTCGGGCTTCAGTACATTTTTCTATTTTCGGCCAACGTCACGCCAACGTTTACGGTAATGGAACGAGAGGCAAGCGGAAATTGCTTAGGTGAAAGAAACGAATGTAGAGTTTTCGAAAGAAAGTTCAAATTGCAAGGGGAAGAAAAGAGAAAAAGGGGGGGGAGGGAGAGGAGAAAACCGGAAGTATCGTCCAGGTTGAACAAATTAAGTTGGCGGTCAAAAACAATCTCCAAACTTAATATCCTACCGCGTTTTTAAACTTTCCTTCCTCGATTTCTTTCTTCCTCGAACAACGAACGTGATCTAAAAAAATAGGAAGAAGAAAAAAAAAATGAAAATGAAATTCTTCCGTTTAGAACGAAAGAAAGAAAGAAAAAAAAAAAAACCTTTAAAAATCGGATCGTGCGAAGAAATTTCGCAGTTTTTTCCATTCACGAATCAACGAACGACCATCCGACCGAATAGGATGCATTTTTAAAAAATCCGCTCTAAACGAGAAATTACTTTCGAAGGACAATCGCCCGAAGAGTTTTGCTTTCGAGTGCGTGCATACATCCTTGCATATACAAGTGCGTATCCGTTAACAATTTCCCAATCTCCACGGATCCACGGAGAGGTCATAGTTAAATGGTAATTGAAGACCGAGATGCCAAGATCAAAGGGTCAAGAGCGAGGATTTGATGAAGGGCCCGTGTATCGACGGATCGAGACGCTGCTCGAGCCGATTAAACGTCCCGCTCCGTGATTGCCAATTCCCGATGGAACATCGATCCCCGCGTAACGGCAAACTCGATCCGTTAACTTCCATCCAACGGATGGAAGAAACGTGGATGGTGATTGTCGTTGTGCGAAGACGGTTAAGAAGTTCCTTGGGAATATCCGCTTAATTATTGAAACAATCTCTCGTTCTCGAATGGTACGGTATCCATCAATGACGTTGCTGGAATTCATTTGGAAAATCGTGTCTCCCCCGCTGGAAACGAGAAGTGAAAAACTTGTCGATCCGAATGGTTTTTATCCATATCTCTTTCTTCGTATCCTTCGCATCCCCGATCGATTATTATTCGTTCACGTTTTCCTTTCACTCGCGAGGAGGAAACGGGAGAATTGCAAAGAATTGCGGTTTTTATATTAAGGGATCTTAACGATTTTTTTCTCTTTACATCTCATTTTTAACGTTAAATTCATTTTTAATTATACAGGACGAGGGTGTCGTTCCACGAAAGAGACGGTAATTATACGGATGAAACGCGTATTAGGGTTTAATGGCGAGGAAGCAGATGCTCGTTCAATTCGTCGGACGATCCCCTCCCTCCCTCGATCCGATTATTCCCTACGGCTACGGAAAGAGAGAATTTTTAAAAGAATTTTTTTTTCAACGAAAAATCCACCTCTCTTCTTTCTTCTTTTTTTCCAGGCAAATCGACAGGATTGGTTACGACGACGAGGGTGACGCACGCGACACCGGCGGCCCTTTACGCCCACGCAGCCAGCCGTTACTGGGAGGACGACGGCAAAGTGCCACCTGCTGCACGAACATCGTGCAAGGACATCGCGCGTCAGCTGCTCGAGGATGAGCCAGGCCGTAACATCAACGTACGGGGATTACGTATTTCGACTCGAACCCACGAAACTTTTCTTCAACTCTTATCCCGGTTAATCCATCGGCCTCTCTCCCCCCTCCCTCTTCTACGTCGTTTTTATCGCCGTTCGTGGATACGTGGAAAGATTTCCTCGAGGAATCGTCGCGATTCCTGCTGTAACTCGGAAGGGATCGAACGAATTCGAAGAAAACCGGAAATTTCTAACGATCGCGCTCTCTTTCCCTTTAAGCTTTCGATACGACGAAGTGGGTGAATGTGGGACGTGAAATCGTTTCCAATTTGTACACCATCCGAAGCTTCTTCTTCTTTTCTTCTTTTCTTTTATTTTCTTTTTCTTTTAGGGAGAAAATGGATTAAGGTATATAATGGAAGAAGGATATGATTTTGATTTTCGGTTCGGAAAAGCAGCGCAGTTCTGTGCAAGCTTGATGATATAAATTATGATTTAATCATAATTCAATAATCAACGAACCGTAAACCGTCCGATATTGAAAGTTGGCCAAACATGTACTTGCCATGAATAATTCAACGTGCGCGCTTAATATGGTATTTAATATATCCTTGCATCCGAGGTAAAAGTGTCTCTTTATTTAGAAAAATATAATCGGATTGAACTTCTCTCTTAATTGAAAATACAAATTATTAGATCGTTGTTGTTCATATATATATATTTATTTATTTAAACTAACAATATACGATTCAACGATTATTTCATTTTTTTCTCGTTAATACGATTTTTCTTCTCCTTCTTCTTCTTCTTCTTCGAAAAACAAGTTACGTAATCAAGATTATCCAAGACGAGTTGAATCGTCGTTGGAAAATTAATAGTATAATCTCTTATCATTTTTCGAAAGAAGGAAATGATATAGATAAAAATATCGATATATATGTATATACATAGAAAAAATATTATAGAACGTTATATTCGAGTAACTCGATTTAAAATTTATGATATCTTTCGTTACATTGAATCGTACGAATTCGATTTCGCATATTCGGCGCGCGAAAATCGGCCCTCGTTCAAAAATTCGAGAATATTATATACAGAGGGAGAAGGAACGTTAAAAATGCCGGGGATTAAAGCGGGTGTCGTTGGGAGTAAAGAGAGAGGAGGAAAGAGATTTCGGAAAAGCAACAACCCGAGCTTTCCACTCCGCGATTTATCGGCGACGTTTTACGCGCCGCATCGATCCCATGAAACGAAACGAGTCGAGTGCGTTCAAATTCTTCTCTCTGCGGCAAAATAGATTTCGTAAATCGCGAAATGCACAACGTTCGACTAATAATTTTTATTACTATTGGAACAGCGGTAATAAAAAGATTTCTAATCTGTCAATTTGAATTTGAGAAAAATGTGACGAAGCGATGTGCACTCTCTGCTGTTGAATTTCGTTAGATACGTACGAGGATAATTGTTCAAGATTTCAGAAATCTCGAAGATTTCCAACAACTCCAAGCTCGATCTCATCACGAGGAATACGCGTGCAAATTATGTCAGTTCCCAAATCGAGTAGTTTTATCGTTCTTGGACTATGTTTATCGCGTTAAGAATTTACCTTCTTCTCTTCTCTAATCGCATTTCCACGAGCTGCACATCGAGTTTATAATCCCATTTTGAGGATTTCATGCGCGTCCGTGTAAACTCGAGGATCTCGAGAATTTGAGAAAATTTAGTTTTCGTCGTCGCGCGTCACGCAATCGTTATCACGTTTTCGCAAGATTGTACAGAGACACAACGTTCGAAACGTTGCTTCTCGAGTCGAAAATTGAACGAAACTTTATTCATCGATCGAGCCATCTAAACCATCTTAAATAAGGAGGACGGTTTCCCTTATCTCTAGCTACTCTTTTCTTAACTTTATGCAAAATCAATTTCTAAAAATCTCTTCGTCCTCGTATCGTTTCTCTCGAAATCCTTTCGAAAGATCTTCCCTTCGAATCGAACTGTATCCGAATATGAAGTTAACTCTCGAAACTTCGTTAAAATCGCGATAACGTTACGAATCCCGCGAACTTTCGAAAGAAGAAGATGGCGAGACGACCTTAGCCGGAAGAATCGGTGGTTCGATCGACGAGGAAGTTGGGATTCAGGGTAGGCGAGTGGAAGACCCCGAACGATGTTTTTGTGGCGACGTAAATGGTTGAAAAAAGTTGGTTCGAGAGATCAGAGCTTTTATACGGAACTTCTATGCAAAACTTTCCGTTCTCGTTAAAGTCTGCTTAGTCGGAGAGAGAGAGAGAGAGAGAGAGAGAGAGTTTGTTGGTCGGACAGAAGGGGAATTAAAAGTCCGCGGGGATGACTTTCCCAATGAATTCCAGGATTTATTAGGAGAATCGGAAATAAAATTTATCTTGCGAAATATTTCGAACGCGATATCTTTGGTGACGAGTGACCGGTAAAATTTTGAAAATTCAATATCTATTCCCCGGTAATTAAACAGTTTCGAAATGATATATTATATATAAGGTCAAATTTCGATGTTCCATCGGGTTAATTAACATCCGTAATTTTAATTGTTTATCCGGGAAAACAGAATTTCGATCAACCTTTTAATTTTCGAAATCATACCGAGAGTAATTAACATTTCAAATCGTTCACGGAAAACGAAACGTAACAATTTCTTGTTAATTACTTATTTGAATTTAACATATAACGTATACCTTGTGTCGAAATATGTGCATTTTAATCTGTTATAAAAAGAAACGTGAACGAAATGGGAAAGCATGGGTAAATTATAACTATAAATCGAAACTCTTACGAAAATTCGAAAAAAAATGCGTCGAAATAAGAAAACATTTCGATCGGTTAAAGGATAAGAATATTTTACAACGAACGAGAAATATCTCTATTCTATATTAAATTCGATTAAATTCATTTTTAATATCGACAAATAATACGAGGAACTATTCAATCCAAAACAATATGATATTCTGAAAAAAAAAAAGAAAAACAAAAACAAAAATATCGCATAACATATTCTACGTGTCTTTCATTGGCGATATTAAAATATAAAAAGCGTGCAATGTAGGTCGCGTGCTCGTAATCCTTTTTATATGTGACTTTCTGTTCCAAGCTATCCGTGAAACAAAAATAAAAAATAAAAGAAGAAAAAAAAAAAAAGCTGTAATCACCGAAATGGAAAATTTTACGGATGAACGAGAAGACTATTCCTTTTCGGTTGACTTTGAAATTCTACAAAATTGCTTTTGGGATCACGTTCTCTGATGGAACACAAACACGCGCGTCCAAAGAAACGGAACGTACGAAAATAAAAGATTCGAAAATGAAAATCGTGGATCAAAGTTTCGACCGATGTTAATCTCGTTAAATTGAAATTTAAATCCGATTATTGAAGGAAATCCGAGGCGAGTTATAACGCAAGCTATAACCACGATTAGATTGCCGATTTTATTCTCAATCACTGAAAAGTGTAGCTGAATATTGTGTTCAAATATGTTAATATACTTAACACGTTATAATTATACCTCCATATATCACGATGATTATTAATAATCGTTCAAAATTTTAAAAGATTTCGTTTTCGTAATCCATTAAGAAATAAAGAGAACAAAATATCGTTGAAATTATTTTTTATTTTATAGTCCGATAATTCAATCGATTGCAAAGATATTGTTAAAAAAAGTAGAATGAGATAAGTGGTCAAGAATGTTCTTTCAAGAGAAAGCAAGGATGTAAAAAATAGTAAACGTATCGAAATAAATGAAAAAGCGTTTTAAAGAGTAAGATAAATTATTTTTCGAAATACGTTGCCAGCAATAATCGTATTAATTGTATATTGAAAACTTTAAATCGATTTAAATAAACAATATTCGTTTAAATTAATTACAAAAAGAAAAATTAACAAGTTTTCACAAGTAATATCTTAATAAAAAAAAAAAGCGAATGAAATGTATCGCGAGAAATAATATTTGGGATAAAATATATGCTAATGAATCATGGTCGATCGTAGGTGATACTCGGCGGAGGTAGACGTCATTTCGTGCCGAAAGTGATCCAGGATCCGGAAGAGCCGGATAAGGAAGGAAGACGATTGGACGGAAGGAATCTGATCGAGGAATGGTCGAGGAACCATCGGTTGCGGAACGTGGCCGCGAAATACGTGGCTAACAAGGAGCAGTTCGAGAGCGTCGATCCACGGAAAGTGAACCATCTGTTGGGTAACGAATGAAAATATGTTTCTACGTTTCCCGTATTTCCAATAAGGAGAGGAAAAAGCGATTTATCAAATCGAGAAATCGTTTTATTCTCAATCACTGAAAAGTGATAGTTTTCGTTACATCGTTACGTTGAAACGGTTCATTTTAAAAAAAAAATTCAATTAAATTTTCTTTCTTCCAATATTTGATATTATTCATTTCATATCGTTCGGGCGATAGAAAGAAAGTTGTACATACGATGAAAGTTTTTACGATTCAATTACGAATCGAGTCGAAATACGAAAAAAAAAAAAAAAAAAAAAAAAAAAAANAAAAAAAAAAAAAAAAAAAAAAAAAACAATACAAATTGTTCAGGAATAATTAAGATTATTGTGCATTGTACCTTTAGATAATTATCGATCTCGCGCGATTAATGCTTCGATGTAGTTAGCTGCTAGTTAGTCCGCCCTAATTATGAACGACGTAACGTTTGAATATGAGATTACACTTGGCCTATTGATCAGAACTGTTGATTCCCTCTCCCAAGATTGTCTAATAAGCAAATTATTGGCTGACAATTAACAGTTGCGTGAAATTGCGCGTTTTTATTGAGAAATAAAAAAAAAAAAAAAAGAAAAGAACATTTCACTTGCATTCACTATTAAAACTGAAACCTATTAATATTATTCTAGAAAATTAACATCGGAAAAGAAATTGTATTAAATATTCAAATTCGTTCACAAAGGGGAACGAATGGAGAAAAATTTTACTCCAATAATGGGAAATCGGTGATTTCATATTGTTCAATCATTCCAGGGTTGTTCTCCTATTCCCATATGGACTTCGACGTTGATCGAAACACGAACGGAAGCGGTGACCCGTCACTGGCCGAAATGACGATAAAGGCGCTTCGTATACTGGCCAAAAATCCCGAAGGATATTTCCTTTTCGTGGAAGGTACGTAGGTACGAACAAAGGGACCTCGAACTTCACGGAGATGTATTATTCCAATGTTTCACCGAATAGTTCCTTTGTGGAACCATGCGTTTATAGGACAAAGAAAAAGAAATTGTTCTCTTTATTCCGAACTTCGAGTTCGGAAGACGATGAATTGAAAAGAATGAAAGCGTAATGGCACGGTATAATTCCTTTCCATTAGGAATCTCGTTTGTTTTACGATACTTTTTTCAGATAGTTCATTTTTCTTCTTTTTTTTTTTTTTTTTCTACAATTAAAGGAAAATTTATTTTCTATGTTACGAATTCGAAGAATTCGCGTACGACTTATCGTCATCTCGTTAGAATTTCATAATCGGCGCAACATAATTGAAATTCCTCGATGGCGGAATAATACGACTGAGCTAATACTCTCTCTTTTGAGAGAGAAAAAAAGAAGGGGGAGAGGAGAGAGAGAGAGAGAGAGTATTCCTTTTGAGAATAGGCGAGTTCCCTGCACGAAGATTGAGTCAGCGTTCTATACTTTATCGAGTTTATAGCTTTCCGCCCCTGGTAACCGGTATGTACATCTCACGTTCTTTCGTAGTTGGGAAAAACGTTTTCTCGACTTGTACGAAGATACACTTTTTTCTTCCACCCCTCTCCGCCCCGCCCGAGTCCCTAAGAGACCGCTGAGCCAGCCATTTTCGTGACCGTGGGACTCTTTCGCCGTGTATTTTTGTCGTTCGCAGATGGAATAATAATTGCCTCTTTACCAGTTCTCACCGGTTCTACATTAAAATAAAATTATAATTTCCTTCCGAAAGCAGGAAAATGTAGATAAGAGAAAGAAAGAAAAAAATGGGAAGAAAATTTGCGAGTGGAGTGGAATTTCCAGCCACGAAACTATGTTTGAAAGAAAGAAATATGAATATTGTAAAGAGTAATCTCGAAACAATAAGTTGTGAATTTAAAAATTCGTCGAAATATGATTTTCTTTGTTCGTAGAATGGCAATTAAATACTTGATAATAACCGATATTGATTCTTCATCTTAAATATGATTCACTCATACGGTATTAAATTGATCGATTCAATTGTATTTAGAAATGTAAATTAAACGCGGGATTAAAATTATCTATTTCCAGATAATACATTTTATCGCGATTCATCATGAAATTGCACTATCGTGCACGATAGTGTTCCTCCTTCAAACTTCATTCGAGAATTGCTTCCGTTTCTGGAATTCAACATCGGTTACCTTGTAGTAGATACCGAAATCTGGATCCAAAGTTTCCTATCGTGACAACTGTTGCTGCCTGTTGGCAGTTGGAAAATGTGGGCGACACATTTTGGCACGACATCATGGAATTAGACGGTGGTTCGTTAAATAATAAATACAAAAAATATATAAATATATTGGCAAAATTCTAATATGTAAAAATATTTTGATTTTTACAATATTTACTCAAATTTCTCCAATTTTTACAATAATTATCAAGTCAAAGAAACAAGAATCATGGTCGTTTATCAAACAAGTGATTCGTTTTTCGACTCATTGTTGTTACGTATTTTGAAATTCCAGCTATTCGTTAAAGTCATCCCTCCTGTGCTTTCATACTACGATAGATAAGTATAACTCTGCAAATTTATATTTGTAAATAACTGAACATATGTGAATATTTCACGTTATAATGACATAACATTTTCGATACAACAATTTATTCATTAAATAATAATTATAAATTAAACACGAGGTATAAAATATAATTCTGTATTATCTAATTCACTGGTAGAAATTGAAACACTTTTGTTATTAGTCAAAACTATCTTTCATCAGATTTTTACCATTTCTTTTTTCACCCTCTTTTTTTATTTTTTGTCCAAATCGCGACCATCGAGCTCCCAGAGCCAACTTTTATTTCGCGATTACGGCGGAGTCCACATGGAAATTCTGAACAATCCGTATAAACGGGAAAAGGAGAGAAATTTAGTTTTTTCTCGTTGAGAATTTGTCTAATTTTATGTTGAATAAAAATAAGCATCCTTGGAAAAACTGTGCCAGTTTGGACGAGCGGTATTCAAGCGAGTAGTCAGTTTGTATAAAAAAAAAAAAGAAAAAAAAAAAAAGAAGAAGAAGAAGAAAAGAAAGAACAAAAGAAAGAGAGAAAAATCTAATTTAAAATGTTCCTTTTTCATTTATCCCGTTATTTCTATCGTATTAAAAGTCTATTTTCGTCAACATATTTAGAAAAGGAAATTCGAGAGGAAATTATTCGATGGATGAAAAATCACAAGCATGGAAATTAAGGAGAAACGATTAAAAAGAATGATCATTTGCATCTGCATATTTTTTCGATTTTAATTAGATCGGGCGATTTCTACAAGAAATCTTTTTTAATTATCTTATTTTTCGAAACGCGTGGAATAATTAAATATATATATATATATTTTTTTTCAAAAAATAAAATATTTAGATCGACAAGGATTAATAGATACGATCATCGATATAAATCGACGTATTAAAATGAATTATCGGTCACATTGGTCATAGATTGCTCAGATTAAAATTCTGAAATTCGGACAGGAAGGAAGGAGCAGCGACATTAGTTCGAATAAGCACGTTCATTACGGAGCATTCTGCGAATCTCTTCTAGAGATCTTAATTCTATAGGGTTCTTAAATACTGGAATTTAATTGAAATGCAAATTAGGTCGTTTCTTTATTCGTTGACTAATTGCAAATAATGCTATTTTGAATTTATCAGTCAGTGAAATCATATCTATTTGAAACAAAAGATTAATTCAATATCCGTTTTATTCTCTATTCAGGAATTTTCATGTATAATATAATTTTAATCCAATCGGATTTTGAAATTTTTTGATATAAATTTTCTCGTGAAAAATATTAATCTACTTTGAAAAATTTTCATAATGTAAATATATATATGTAATTTAATTGCTAATAAAATAATATCGAATAAAAAGTATTCGATAAGATTTCAAATAAAATAACTTTTTCAAATAACTTTGTTTTATTCAATAATAGTATTGGTGACCAATAGTAAAATTTCGTTGCTGTCGTGTTTCAAATACCAGCGAAAACCAATTAAAAGTACCGAATCTCTATTTCTAAACAAAAGCGCAATAATACTTTTTATACAGCGAAAAAAAATTCTATTATCCAATGTATTTATGAAAACAAAACGAGAAAACTTATGCATGTTTCTGTAAATTGCTTGAAATCAAATAAATGAAAAATAATGCGATATTATTTCAAATTTATCCTTGTTGCACCTTAAATTTTCATTTTTCCGATTATTACAAACAACGAATTTCATTTGCTACAAAATGCGCACTACTATCATTTAATTTCATTATGAGCGTATTAAAACTTTTCATCACGGGCTGTGCACGTATAATCGATGAAATTAAATTCACAGTGGAATGCTGTAGAAATGAAAAATAAAAATTTTTCGCGTTTTAATCTCTCGAAATAATTTTTGTTGGCACTTGGATATTATATTATAATATAAGTTTCAATCCCAAAAGAATCGTTAACGTAATATTTTTCAAAAATCAATTTCATTTTTCCGGTCCATTAATTTTTTTTAATTCAAATCAATAATACCGTAAAGCGTTTCATTTTGAAAAAATGTTTAATAATAATATATCTATTATATTAAATTAAATTATAAAATCATCGTGCTTTAACATATATACTCGTTGTACGCGCATACATATATATGGTTATATAATATTTTATATCTTAGACGAAAATAAAACTAATGTATAATTTCATGAAATATATTTAAAAAAACGAAACATTTTCACTTTTAAGGCGATTCATTTGATGTATTTTGCAATCTTGGATTGAAAAGAATATGTTCAAAATAATACGAAACATCGAAGCAGTGAGATCAACGATTGAATATTTGTGGAAATATCCAGGTAGAAATATCATTTTACTCAGTGGGGTTATTCGGTAGTTGTTCGTGTTTTATTGCAACTGGTGATTTATTGGAACAACGTTTGCTACAATAAACAGAAGCAAAAATATTTCACGGATAATAATCGATGTAGTTATATAATTATTCATTGATACGAAACGATATTCTTTCAATGTACAGTTATATAATATTGTTAATTGAAGAAATTATAATGAAAATTACCCAACTAAGAAATGAATATATTCTCTAATTAAAATACATTTCAATATAAATATATCTTTTATTATTTTTTGTATTATTTTGCATAGAATTATTCAATGTAAAAATTATATGAATAGATTAAATTAATATTCAATACTGTATCGAATGATATATTAGTAATTAACACATATATTAGTAATTAACTCCGATCCTGCAATTATTTCCACTAACGTAGAGAAAGACTGAATTACATGATGCATACTATGCAGAGACACGATATAGTGTGAATACTCATATTGAAATTCTATGATTCTATTATAACACATGGATTGGTAAATTTGATACAATTTCGATAGTAATGTGCAACTGTAATAATGTCACACTGAAATAAGGCTAAATTTGACGCAATAGTTTCTGAAATAATTATATCTAAATCATAAATATTTATAGAATATAAGATATGCATCATCGATGTTATACATAGACTATATAATTATCAAAATTTTTAAACATCAAGTATTTCATTTCATTACAAGAAAAATTCACAGACAATTATCAAATATATGCATAAAAATTCTCTTTCGAATGTAATTTCATTGATTATTTCAATTGCTATTAATCGAAAAATGAGCTTACCTGAATTTCTGCTACGAAATACATGTCGTCGATGTATTAATTTTCTTTGTTTGTGATCATTCACACGATCTTCTTTACTTCGTTCAATCTTTTTCATATCATAAATGTTCTTCATCGTTCGAAACAGTATATATTTACAATATATTACATCACACATTTATATTACACAATATTTATATTGCACAAACAACGCGTTCATTTACAATTTCCGCACAACGTGGTCGAGACAGAATTAATGTTCGATCGTAAAACCGAATCATTGCAGTTAGCCACGGCGCCGTCTGGCTGAGCCAAGTGATACCGAATACTATTAAACCTTTTAGCGTGATACTCTAAGGTCGAATTCCTATCCCGTTTCATTCCCAATTGCTTCGATTCGTTCTGGAACTGATTCGATTCCACGCTTTCGATCCAATTTCCGCCATCTTGCATATATGCTTACCTTCACTATTCACTATAGCGTCACCACACATATCGAATATCGATTCGGCCATTTTGGATCGTTTCTAAGTGACGCGTTCAACTTCAAGTTGAACTTTCAGTAATCTATTCCAGAGTCAGCGTCGTGTCGTTTGCTAGCTTGATAATTGAATCTCGAATTCTTGTGGATCGTTCTGAATAATTAGCGTTAACTACAATGGCCATGCTGTTTTACCAAACGCGAATTCCACGGTAATGCTGATGATGCTCGTTTCCTCTGTAATTTCATCGTCGTTTTCGTTCCTTTTCTCGGTTTTCATTATAAAGTGGTGACAAAGTGAATAAAAGAAAGCAAATGAATTTTCTAGAATTATTAAACGTGAATTTCGTAATAATCCAACTACATAGAAAATTTTTAAAGTGATTTTCTCAACTCGCTATTATGGATTATTTAAAAGTTGAATCATTATAAATCATTAAAATTTGAACATTTTTCGTTTTTTTTCGAACAATTTTATATTTCAAAATGTGATATTTCAAAAAATAAAGGAATATGTATTTATAATAAGTTTAGATAAGATATGCTTTCATTTTATAATTTTATATATTATTTATGATATTTATAATTTTTATTAAATATAACAAGAGAAATAAAATTATATTTATATAAATTAAAAATACATTTCAATGTATGAAGAATGACATAATCCTCGTTTGGATTCAAATTTACTTTTTATGATGTCTTTAATATTCTTTAGTATAAACAATTTAGTTGCACAAAGTATTTAATATTAGGAATATATATTTATCTTTCTATTTATAACATCTGCACCTAGATGCTTTTAGAAAGTTAAAAGTTTACTCAAAAGTATACTTAAAAAATATTAAAGTCGTTAATACGATTACAGGATAGCTTCCTACGAAGTGACAATATTGGTTTTAAAGTTACTCGCGTCGAGAGTTTTTCAAAGTGCATCTAAAGTTGATTCTCAACTGAATAAAACTTGTTGGTTAAGATAGTTCAGTGAAAAGGTGTATTATATCATATGGTTGAGTGTTTCTTTAATTCGAGAATCTTTTTCAATCAAAATTTACGGTTTAAATAATATTTACAAATTATGAAGTTCATATCAGTGATATTGCGTGTGATAATCAGTGACGATGTTTTTATCAACGATGTTTAAATATACAAAATTCTTCGTGACGAAAAGAATCAATAATTTTCATCTTCACAAAATTTTATTCTAATCATTTTCAAATTATTCCATGTGTCTTTTTCGACGATATCTATTTTTCTATCGATATTATAAAATAAAATTTCTCATTTACATCTGTCAATTTGTTTATTACAATCGGTCTCTGTACTAATTTCTCTCTGTCAGACGTATGATTAAACGGGAAAGGTCCATTTGTCTATCTCTAGGTGGCAGAATCGATCACGCGCATCACTATAACAATGCTTATCGAGCGTTGGACGAAACATTGGCTCTGGAGGAAGCTGTGAGGGCCGTGATGAAGGAAGTGGACTTGTCAGAAACGCTTCTCGTCGTGACGGCGGATCACTCGCACGTACTCACGCTTGGTGGTTTAGCAACGCATCGTGGGAATCCTATATTTGGTAAGTGAAACGTGATAAGTCATTGTCCAATAATTCCACAATCCATAGAGGCAACTAAAATGATTTATTACCTGCCATGATTCCGATAATTCCGAACAAAACTTCTAGAATTCGAAAATTATTTTTCGAAGTGAATTTATTGCCTTGAATTATTATTAAAATTGAAAATTCACTTATTACTATATTTAATTTTACCTCTGTATACAATACGGTGAAATTTATTATTTCGGATTTATTATTTCCTCGAGATTCCGTGCAGAAAAGTTGCCGACAGATAATGGATTTTTATATTCACCGATACGATGCAATTTCTATAAACAATTCCATAGACCCGGAGTATCATCCTTCGAAATAATTCTGAATGAAACGTAAGGATCGTGCCTAGCACGAATAACCTTACCATCCCTTCGATATTACGCTCCCTTATTAACCTCGTTATTTCTTTGATTTCGTTCCACCGGTGCAACAGAGTACGCGAAGGAGGGAAAAGCGGGCAGCAAACATGATTCGTGCTAGCCAGAGACACAAAGTTCGCCAACTTTTCGACCGAAAACCGTCAATGTAATTGACATTTTTCCCATATTTCCGTCTACTTTTTTACTTCAACGTCGACGAAAACGAGCAACAAAAATTCTGGTTTCCGATATTAAATTCAAGAGAAGAGGCTTTACGTTTCCCGATAAAATTCCCTCGACATCATCCACAATAATCCATACGACTAAATGTCATCTGGTTATATTAAAAATCGTCTGACTGTGATTCCATTTGTTCATTCGAATAGACAGTTGAAATATCGAATTCATCGAAAATATTGATTCCTGTTTCCTGTATCATATGATTATCATATGAATCAACAGAATATCGTATTGTTTCGTTGATTAGCATTCGAAGAAGCTAAATAAAATTCAATTTCATCGCAACAAAAAATACAAATGTTCAATCTGTGATTAAGTTAAATTGCGAAATGCAAAGAGCATTACTCCGGTTGAATTTCTTATACGACTTCATCAACTTCATTCACGGATCGACTTATGATCCAGAATCGAATCAGAAAGATGGAAATTATTATCGGTGATTCCGTCGACGATTTAATTTTCTTTCCAATCTGGTTCTCCGATTCGAGAATGAACATCCCACATTCATTTTCCTTATTTTTCTTCCCTGTTAGTCTCTTCATCGTTAAACGACCCAATATAAAGATCCTTCGCAAACTCTTAATTTTACGATAAATCTTCTTTTGCAATCCCGTACTCGGAAACAAACTTCGAGCAGAACGTTTCGCGTTATTCTAAAATTTTATTGGCACAAAATTTCGGATCGGAGGCAATAATTCAATTATGATCGATCGATGTATGAATATCTTATAAAAATTATACTGTTTCACGAATGATCTAGTTAATATTAGTATATATTTTTAATCATAGATTAATGATGATTTCTATTTTGGAAAATTTGCTTCGAGGGAAATTTCACTCTTCCAATCTCGAATCAATAATCTCGAGAAAAGAAATCGAAAGAAAATGTAGGAAGAGACGAAAAGTAAAGTAAAAGAGTGATAAATGATTTTCCAACAGTACGCCGATGAACGAATCTCTGAATCAAATCCCGATCACGACGCTAAATCACTCGATCGAGAGATAAAGTTAGATTGATAGATGACAAGAATTTCGTTGCAGAGAAGACAATCGGTCGCCAATAATGCTATTCAAAACTGCGCGTTTCTAGCGGAGGGGAAGAAAAGGATCTAGAAAATGAAAAAAAAAAAAAAAAAAAAAAGAGAAAGAAGACAGAGAGAGAAGATGTGGAGCGTTATATGAAACGGCACGTACAACCGATTCATGAGAGTCTCGATTGAAAGGGCAGAGGAGATGCGAATGGAAAACGACATTGGAAGGGTGTGAACGGCGGGCGAGGTTGCATTGATCGTCCGCGTTGCATTTTTCGACTATTGATCATTCGAAACTTTTCGACGCGATGCGATTCGGAAAAGTCGAGCGGGAAAAGTCAGAGAAACAAGAGACTGTCGTTCATCAATGTCCCCTCTGAATGCATAATACAAGCACAGTTGGATTTACAACCATTCCCATTTCGAATGGGAACGGTCGGGCGGAGGGAAAAAGTGTATTTAACGGTGAGTGACGAGTTTCTGTTTCATCCCTGTGATCCCGCTCCTCTGGATGAGAATTGGTGCGCGCATTCGGTATTCAAGCCGCGAAAAGGCGGGGAGATCGGGTCGGGGTCAATAATTTATCCGGCTTCGTCTCTGTCGATCGCGTTCGGCCGGGCGGAATGACCGGAAAGGGTCGCATGGCAATCCAATACCAGGTAAGTGATTCGGTACACCGTTTTATATACCCTCCAGACACTTCTTCATCACGCGTGGAAGGGATGGAAGGGCCTTCCAATTCCAAGATCCCCGCTTTCAATACGATCCAATCTTCTTGGACAAGCCCGCGCGAGGGGGTACGGGAATCGAACGTTTGTCCGTGCTTAAATCGAATCGCGGCGAGAAATGCAAAGGATAGTTTTTTCTTTCTTTCTTTCTTTCTTTTTTGTGATTGCTGCGTGAATCGTCCGGCTCGTTCCAATTCCTCTTCGATCTCATTTCGATCCCCACGATTCGTCCACGGTTGGCGTTCGGCGAAAGGGGGGCTCGGTTGTTCGAAATAAAACGCGAAACGATTTTGACCCTTTTCTCGGAAATTTGTATACGGCCATACGAGGATGGCCACTTTTATTCCCTCGCGTTGGTATATATTGTATCCGTCGTAGTTTCGTTTTTCCTTCCTTCGTCGAAGAAAAATACGGGAAAATTGTAAATCGTTACGTGGCAGAGTTATATAACTATGATTTTCAACCCAATGGTATTCCATATATCTATACGGATTATATTCTTGGTGGTTTTGCTCGAAAGTTATATTATATACACATCAGGCTAGAAGCCCGCTGTTCCTCGCATTATTTCTCCAAGGAAGCATTATTTATCAGGAATCCACGTTATATGATATGCGCAACGCGCATATTATTCGGAAAATTTAAAATTCAATTCCGTAATTACATCTGTTCGAACCAACTACTACTACCGATACGTCCGTACCGAAACCTCTCCCCTCCCGAGCCACGCGGCGTGAAGTATTACTTAAGCGAAGCTTCGAGAAAAATTCACGAAAAAAAGTTCACGAAGGAACAAAATACGCAGTCATTAAGAGGGTTTATTCCCGTAAGGCGGTGCGTGTAATTGACAAATGAATTAAAACGTTGGAGAAAATGCTGGAAACGTTCCAGAAAGAACTGTTGGATCTTTTCCAACCTACATACACGTACACGAAAAACATGGTGTAAAACGACCGCCTCGTGTATTCCCCTCTTATATATCCCACCTTGCATTCGAGCGAACTTGTAAAATAGGTGACGTGAGTCACCTCTTCGCCGTTCCATCGTTTCTTTTTATATCCTCGTTAAACCATATCTATACTTCTCTCTGTCTCTTTCTCTCTCTCTCTTCCTCGCGGGATCAATGTCTACGAGCCAATCGCCGTGTACAAACGTGTATACCTATGCCCTCCTCTCCCCGCATTAATTATTAATGTCACGCAGCCTCGACAATTCGAAACCTCGTCGACGACGAGGTTGAGATAAGTCAAAAACGTGTATCCGCGGAGAGGGGAGGGGCCTTGCTTAGCTCAAGAATCGATGGGAATTCAAGCGGTCTAGGCGGGACGCGCGAAACGTGCGAGGAATGTTGGATAGAACGTTGCCGCGGGATTTTGCATTTAGAAGTCACGATAGGGCGCGGTTAAAAATATAAAAGTGGGAGGGGACCTAGGAGGAGGAGGAGGAGGAGGAGAAGGAGGAGGAGGAGGAGGAGGAGGAGAAGAAGGAGGAGGAATTTCGCCGCAGGATGAATTCGTGTAAACACCACGTGATTCCTACGTTATTTCACCGATGCCTCGCCGAGGAAACTAATACTACCACAATGTTATCGGTTTTATTGCTTCTTCGAGTCGCGTTCTTGCGGCCTGAATTCTCTTCTATCGGAATTTCAGATAGAACGAAGGGAACGGCCAGCTCGTGTAATTAATCATAAGGGAAAATTTATCACAAGGCGGTGAGTCACCGTAATTTTCTAATTTTCCCTTTCCGCGTTTTCTGCGCGAATGACGTTGCACGTTGCCGTCTCTTTTGCCACGGTTTCCATTAACCGTTCGACTGTCGTCGAGAGAAATTCGTAAGCGCGCGTTTTTTCGATACGAAAATGCAAGAAATCATCGTTTCGTCGTTTGTCACCGGGAAGAAGCGCGTTCATCAAAGAAATCCGGCGAATCCCATTTACATCCCGAACCAGCGCCAGCCGCGTTATACCGAATCCATTAAGCCGCCACTTTATCCCGGAAACCGTATCCCGAACCTCGCTATTTCTCGAAACCGTCGTCACCGCGGTCGCACGATACATGTGTGTATATGTGCACGTGTGTAACTGGCAACGATATTTCATTGTGAAACCGAAGATTATTGGAATTCGACGACGAGTTCGCCCGCCGACCAACCTCATAGCTTTGTTTATGAATCTCGTGTCGAAATTCCTCGGCGGAAGGAGATGAAAGGAGAAACACGAGGTCGCTCGATCCTCGCCCATAACAACGATAATGGATAGAGCCACGCGTCGAATTACACCGCGGTGTAATCGCTACTTTTTCAAAGTACTAGTATCCGATAAGTCGAGACGAATTTTCTTTCTTTTTTTTTTTTTTTCTTTCTGTTTCGGGACGGGAAAGAGGTTTCCCCTGTAACGATCGTATGAATATGGAGAATCGCCATTTGCTTGGCGCAACGGCCAAGTGACGTTAAAAGGGGATACACGCGGAATCTCGTTAACGTTCGACGCGATGTCAGAAAATATGAAACACACAGAGGAAAAATAAAATCGATAGCGTGGCTCGAACGAATTTTCTCGTGTCGCGAGCATACACGTACGGGGATGATGGAGCCGGTAAAGCTCG